TGGGTGTAGAATTTAGATGCTCTTCTCCGCTCTGCACATGCCATAATCAGGGGGACAGCAGACAATACGCGTTGCCATACCTCAAGTTCATATTTCAAATCGCGCGGTTCCACTTCACCCTCATGCCTCCCCCTTAGGCCAAGCCCAACTCCTCGTGTCTGCAGTTTTTTTTAGCAAGGGGTGGACCCAGGTGGAGCAGCAGCATTGGAGGCAGCAACCCCTTTGCGTAGCACACAGAAACACTTATCGCATTCAACATCATTTGCATGCGAAGCTTTGGAGAGCGAAACAAATAAAATCAAGAAAATAAATTAGAGGAAAAATAACAAAACAAAAACAAAAACAAAAACAAGAGCATACAAATAAAGAAAATCCAAACGGAAATGTTTGCCTAACAAAAAACCCAAAGGGGGGAGCCAAGTCCGATCCCCCAAGCAAATATGCGGCAGAATCCACCTCGTGGCCAGAAATCGTAGTTGATTTTTTGCAATCTGCAGTTTTCTGGTGTCCTTTGTGTAGGACGTGGACGTGGACGAGGACGAGGATGAGAATGAGAACTCGGACTCGAGTCGATGGTGGACTTGCCATCAGGCAACGTCAGCGGCAGCGAGGAGTTGGAATCCCTTTCTAGTCGCAGTCGTCTGTCTGCGGATCTGCGCTGCGACTGCAGCAGCAGGAACAACAACAGTCAGTGCCTGTCTGGACACGTAGTACTCCTGCTCCCAGACTCTACTCCCACTCTACTTCCACTCTTCTCCCATGTCCATGTCCATGTCGTCGTCACCTCGCGACGCATTCGTGGCACTCGCGTTTAATCAGCGGAGGCTGAGTCCATCCACGACTCCATCTCTGCTCTCTCTCCCTCTCTCTCCGTCTGCAACTTTGGATTTTGGCCATCATCATTTATTGTTAGTGGCTGTGGCCAAAAATACAGTCTGCTGGCTGCTGCTACTCGATGCTTCTGCTGTTGTTTAGATTTCTTTCTGCCAGAATCCTACTCCTCCGCTGCTGGTTGCCCAACCGTTTCAATATTTGCATGTGCCTTCCCATCCGTCCTCGTGGAATATTTGCCTGGGTATTGGGAATTATTTCCTGCTGCTGCTGCTGCTGCGGTTCCATCATATATCATCTGCAGAGGAACACCTTGCCGGACCTTGCCCCTGCCTCAGTGCTCCTCCTCCGCCGCGCTTCGATTTAAGCTTCAAGTACTTCCTGGCGCTCTCCTTTCCCCCCTCCCCCTCGCACCGTCTCTCAGTTTTTATGCATTTTCATTATTTTCAATTTCCATTTTGTTGTTCGCCAATTTATTAAGCGATTTTCGTTATTTCGTTAGCCTTTCCCTTACCCTTTCCCTTACCTCTTGCTCCTGTTTTTTTGTGTCGATTTTGTCTGGATTTTCCATTTGGTTTTCAATTTGCATTTAAGCTGCTCCGCTCCTCCGGTCCTCCGCTCTTGGGGCTCCTCTGCTGCTAATCTTTAAGGCATCCTTTCAATTATCCTTTGGCCCCATCAAGTCTCACATTTCACACAAGCAACAAGTGGCAGGCAGGGCGGGGCAGGGGCAGGGGCAGCACTTCTGTGGCTCTTTGAGTCTTGCAAATCTCAGCCAGAAGTGCAGCAAATATGCAGCCAGTAAATGCAGAGAAATTCCCACAAGACCCCAGGACTGGACAGGACCCAACTACAAGCTACAACTCCAACTCTGCCCGACTCGAAGGCAAGGACCAGTCGAAAGCCAAGGACCTCCCCTTGGCACACAATTAACCGACGAGACCTTGTCCCCACGCCTCAGCTCTGCCCTTCCTCTGCCCCTCGCTTTGTGTGCGACTGACTTGTGCTGCCTTCTTGAGTGCCCCAAGCTGTGGCAGGAGGTGGCCATTTTTCAGACTGGACACTTGAATGAACATTTAGCCCCTGCCCTGCTCCCTGCTCCCTGCTCCTCCTGCTGCCGCTGCTTTTGACCACAATTGTGTGTCAAGGCCGTCGTCTGGCTGCTGGCTGCTGGCTGCCACTTCCTGCTCCAAGACGATGCCAAATGATGAGAACGATAACGTCTCCATTGCCAGAGAGCCTCTGAGTGTGTGTGTGCTCCCTGCGAGTGTGAATGAGAGCTGAAGCTTCGTTTTGTGAATGAAAGGAAGCAAGGAGCAGCCAGCAGCAGCTGCTCAACTCATGGGGGAATATGGAGAAGGAGCAGCAGCAGCAGCAGGAGCACAAGTCTGTTCTGGCAGCCAGTCTTCAGTGTATGAGTAGAAGGAGCAACAGCAGCGTGTGGCACTTGCCCAGGAAGTGTTTTGTGCCACACACACACACACACAGCCAGAGAGAGGGAGCGTAGAATGAGGCGACAAATCAGTGCCCCGTCCTCATGCCATTCTCTGGCTTCTTATTGTCGACATTCTTGGGGAATACCTTTTGGCAGCTCAGACTTGTCTGCACCCCGAGTCCTTTGTGGCCCTGTGCTGCTGTCTGTATCTTTGCTGTTTGTTTGTGCGTTTGTTTGCTTGTTGTTTGCCCTTAACGTTCCGTGCGACTCCAGAAAATTGTGTGAAATTTGTTTTTCTTTCCTCACACAGACAGAGAAGACCTTTACCGCCCCTTGGGGCTGGCTGTGGCTGGGCTCTTGGACTGTGTTTAAGATTCTGTGGCTGTGGTTTGTGCAAATAATCTTGTTTTACACCGCACCCCGATCCGCACCTTACAGGGTTTACGTTTACGTATCCTGCCTGTCGAGTGGACTTTTGGCTGCCCCCGAGACTTGTGCATAATTTATGTGGGAATTTCTGTGTGTGGCATGTGGCAAAAGTATCTCTCTCTCTCTCTCTGTCTGCTGTTGCTTAAGAATTTTCTCAGCATGGACTCTTGTCTCTGTTTGCCTGCCCTGTCCCTCTGTGGCTGCAAAGTCAATTACAGTTGGCTGGTGAGGCTTTCCATTCAGTTAACAAATTAAATGGTTTCCATGCGGTGCGGCAGATAAATTGTTGATTGGGCATTCAATTTGCTCTGTGTTACTTCGATTGTTTGTGCCTCTTGGAAAGGTGAGACGAAGGTGGACAAGGAATTAACTCAAGTGCCAGATGGGTATCCTTGTTAAATGTGGAAAATGTGTGGGAAATGTGAACCGATATGTGGGTGGGTCTTTTGTCCAGGGATTGCATTTTATTTGCTTTATTTTTGTCTAGCGCTTGTCTTTTCTTGTGTGAAAGTACTTTCCCAGCCGTCTGTTGAGTGCATTGAAAAAGAGCTTCGACAAAAGCTCTTTCCTTACTTGTAGCTTTGCCAAAGTTCAGCTTTATTTTGTTCCATTTCAAAGCGCTTTCCAGCAGTGTTGAACACCAGGGAAAACAAGAAGCTTTTCTGTGTGTTATAACTGTTATACAAGGCTAGTGACGAAAGCCAAACAGAGCGAATCAGTCATCAGGTGGGAGACTTTTCCAGCTAAACGACAGAGAAGACCCCTCCCTCACTGTACACATGATCATAGAAGGAAAACAAACAGAAACTTATTCTCCATAATCTAACAAGTGGATTCAGAAACCAAAACAAAACCACACAAAGTATTTACCAAAAAAAAAGTGTCTGGTTGTGAGATCTCTGCCTGAGATAAGAGCAACGAAGAATAACTTTTTTATTCGTAATCGTAATCTAGGGCTGTCCACACGGACCTGGTACATGGGGCAGAGCTGAACCTGAGCCATACCCAAACAGCATGGGTAATCTCTGGGCACTGAACACTCATACAGTGCGCAGGGGAAAGGGATGGGGAAGGGGAAGGGGAAGGGGAATGGACATGGGAATGAGGAATTATGGTTCCAAAGTTCAGACAAGAGCGACGGGCAAACATTACGTAGTTTCCAAGCGATTCAGAGACGCCGTCAAAAGTGATACATAAAATTGTGATCGATAAGCAGGGAGCTGGCTCTTATCACTAGAGAGAGAGAGAGAGACAGCACCTCCAATGAACTGCAGACACATAAAAAGTATTCTAATCTCATGGACTCTCATGGAGGAATGGCTGCTGAACACAAACATTTTTGGAAGTGCAGCCTTATCGCTGGTCGAATGTTGAAGGCGATCCGAGGCGATCGCGTCGTTCAGTTGATTTCTGGCAACGACAGAGAACAGTCGCAGCGGATCACGGGAACAACTTTAACGGCAGAGCTAGAGTCGGGTGCACGTGTGCTCGAAGCATAGAAACTAGCAAAATAAAACAGCAGATTTCTCCCGACTTGAACTGAACCCTGATAAGGCAGTGGCAGAGGCAGAGCCACTGCTCTCAAGTGAAAAAAGAAAACAGCAAAAAACTGAACCCAAGATGATTTCACACACAGTGAGGTGCGTACCTTTGGCTGTGTGCCTGCCCTGCACACTTCTCCTGACTAATCCCCAACTCCTTTTTGTAGGGTCTTCAAGATGATGTACATTGTGGCGGGCATTCTCATCAGCAATGCGGAAATCTGCGACACGGTGGACCGCATACAAATCGCGCCACGCGTTGACCTCAAGCCGGAGTGGGAGCAGCGTGCACTCGGCTCGGGCGGCGCCTCCTCGGGTTCAAGATCACGCTCACATTCGCGCAGCAACTCGGGCTCGGGCTCGAGCTCGGGCTCGGGCTCGGGCGAGGAGTCGGGAGAGCGCAAGCGACGCTGCCGCCGCGTGAGTGTCAGCGGATTGGCCGGCGGTGTGGTGCGTGGCGTGACGTCGCAGGTGACGAAGCGCGTCGGACACCGCTTCGGGTGGCTGTCGGACGTGCGGCTGATACTGCAGCAGTGGCGCCAGCTGGCGCTCAGCTTCAACCTGTGGACAATCCCGAACTTTGTGGTCGAGTGTGTGACCAGCTACATGAGCAAAAAGCTGCTCATCAACAGCGACTGTGATATGATCTACAAGTAGGATTGAAGTGGATTCAAGTGGGAGTAGCATTCCTCGTGTAATTTATTAATAAGTGCCTTTTAGATTTACATTTTAGTTGTTAGAATTTACTGTAAGAGTTGGCTAAATAAACAACAATTAGTTTATAGACAAAGAGACATTCATATAGATTATATTTTCGATTGTATTGTAGTTGCGTTGGTCCCAAATATTCCGTATCCTTCTGCTGTTCCTTCCCTTAGTTCTCCTCTGCCGTGGAGTTGTCCGAGTTGTCGGGACTGCTGGCCTTGCTGCCAGCTGCTGCCCCGCCACGCACATTGAGGCTGTTGTGCAGCATGTTGGCTATGCACTCCACATCCAGATTGTCATCGGTGGCCGAGATCTTGCGCAGCGCGGAGCAGACAATGCTCAGATCACCCTTGAGTTCGCTCACCACTGCCGTGATCTTCTGGGCGTTGGACAGCACCTCCACGCTCATGGTATAGGGATTGTAGCGCACACCAAACGGACGTTGAATGCTGTCAGCAAAGGCTCTGAAGGGGGGAAGGGAAGAACACAACAACTCTCTAGGGGGGAAACAACTTAGATTGAGGAGACGCTCACCTCATCTGCTCCTTGGCTTCCTCGAACGAGTCCGTGTAGTAGTAGGCATTCTGATAGGAGGTGATGATGCACTCCTCCTTGCACGTCAATTCCGGGTCGAACTTCTTGATCTTGGGTCCCGCGGTGATGGCATGCTGCAGCTCCGCCACAGAGCTCAAGAGACCTGCACCATACACCTTGAAGCTGCTGTCCGCCTGCTTGCACAGCCCAAATTCCACCGTGAAGAAGTAGAGCTGAGAAAAGAGAACCGTAAGGAATGGCAGGAAAGGGGAAGCACTCGCCAAGTACCCACCGTTGCCAGCTTCTCAATATCTGCATCACTCGCGCCCAGCGAGGCCAAGCCAATCTCCTGCGAGAACTGAGCAAAACTCGAATTGGCCAGCAGCGGCATGTGCCCCAACAGCTCGTGGCAGCAGTCGCTGCAGCAGAAAACTTACTAGAGAAGAACCCCAAGGGCAGAGCAGTGGCAAAACTCACGGTTCGGGTGTGTAGAATGGATCTGAGGAGTGCCGAATGTACTGCGTGCAGTGAAAGATGCGAAAGGCGAGGCCCGAGAGGAAGTCCCGCGGCGACAGATACCCAGCGACGGGTCGCAGCTGAAAGCCCGTCTTGCGCTTGAGGTAAACACTCACATCCTGCAGCTGGGGCACATTGTCCTCGCGGTAGCCACAGTACTTGACCAGCTCCGGCCAGTTCTCCATGTACTCCGGCACCGCGTGCAACACGTAGAGGCGATGCAGCTCAAGGAAAACGGTGCCCCTGCCGGGAAAACTTGAGGCCAAGCCACAGGGCAAATGCAATTGAAAAACTTACCAAGTTTTCACCTCTTCAGGTGTGTACTGCACGCGTGGAATGGGATTGCCGCTGCGGAGGGGGGGGAGAAGCAGCCATAAAGTGGAGAGTTGCAGGGGCAAGGGCACGGGCTTGAAACTTACTGCTTGAAATTGTTGGCTATGGCCGAGAACTGTTCGCGTCGCTTGCGGTACACGGGATCCTTGAAGCCCGGATGGTCGGCATCCAAATCGGAGCCATACATGAGCACATTCTGGGCCTTGTCCAGGTCGGAGATCTTGCGCGGAAACCACACCATGTCCCCGAAATCTGCATAGGACCACAGACCTCAGGGTTAACTTTTGTGGCAACGATCCGCGGGATGCCCGATGCCCGGAGCTAGACTCACCAAAACTGGAGCAAGCGGAGAGCGACGGGGCTCGCGACATGTGACTGGCATTCACGGACGTATAACTGACGGATGCCACCTCCCGATTGAGCATCTTCACCACCTGATCGAGGCGACGGGGATCGCACTCGACGTCCACGAGCACATCCGCCTGATTGGTGGCCATCTCCAGCGGCGACAGCTCCAGGTGCAGCACATTGATGCCCAGCTCCTGGAAGACCTGCAGGGCACGCGCCAGATTTCCCACCTGATTGCGAAGTGTGAAAATGATGGAAATGCGTTCGCCAGGCGAGTGCTGACGCGAGGAATCCACGGGGCCACCGATGGCCAAGCGCGGCGGCTTGTCGCTGGGAGCCGATGCGTGACGCGAGAGATTTGCATGCCCCTTGGATGCAGCAGCAGCCGAGGAGGAGGATTCCTTTTTGATTTGATGCAATGGACTGCCCTGCTTGACGGCCCACTCCTGCTCGCCGCTCCTGTAGAGCCACAGGCCCAGGAGACTCTTCCCTGAAGCACTCATCCAGACACTGACACACACTGCACTTCGAAGGGGAGAATCTTAACACGGGGCACACGCGTCGGATGCGCAACACTGCGAACAACTGCAAGATCCTGCGACTGTGTCGGCGCTTTTATAGGCAGCCAGCAGGAACCAGGAAGGTGGCATGCCACACATACGCATGGATATATATACATATTCAATTGTATTCATTAAGAGTGTGCGTGTGGCAGGGGCTGGCAGAGAGATAAATTTGTTGAAGACTACACAAGAGGCAAGAGGCAGCAGGCCCCACCTCCTTGTCTGATTGGCCAAATCATCGTTGAATCAGGCCAAAGCCTCAACGCATGACGTCACGATACACTGCCAGCAAGGTATTTGCACTTTGGGGTGCAGCTTGCACTGTGAAAATGTGGCAGGGTATGACATTGGGAGTCTGTCCCTTTGTTTCACTTTCTAATCAGCAGCAACAATTGTGAAAGTTTGCAAATGGGGCAGGGATACAGCTAAGGGTTGCGGGTGAATCCTGCGCTTGACTTTCTAAATGCTGAATTTATGCGGGTGTCAGCAGTGGCATAACTAACTCAGCCCGAACTCCAAGCAAACTCCAACTCTTGCTAGCAAAAATCAATACAGAAAAAGATTCTAAAAGTGAAGAACGGTCAAAGGATGTTTCCACCCACGTGGCAGGAACCACTTGATGCTTTCGTGTCGCCACCGCAGCAGCAGCAGCAGCAGCAGCAGCAAGTTTGCAGAGTCAATAATAGATCCAACGAGTAAATGGCAATTTCTTTTCCGTTTCTTTTGCGCCATTGTTTGCGCTTCGAGAAGAGCAAATAGAAGACGGCGGGGGACCTCTTGGGGCTACTTGACTATTAAAATATGCGAAAGCAAAGGCGAATGGCGGAGTCTTTAGAGTGGCACAGCCGCCCCACATGCCACAGAATGGGTATCGGAATGGGTGGCGGCTGTCCTTGGGCTCATCAGCTGAAACGATAAACTTAATGGCTGCTGGCTAACTGATTGACCGACAAACGAGATGCTGTCCGGCCACAGTTGGAGCGGGGAATGATAGGGAACACACTTTATTTGTTCACCAGAGCTCTGCACAAGCGTTTGATGGATTTATGGTGGCAACAACAGGCAACAGAGCCTCAAAGGATACATGGCTTCAGCACACAGATACCCTCTTGCCCTGGCCCATTCCCCTTGGCAATCTGCTAAAAAGGCAGCAGACAGAAACGGAGACGGAAACGGAGACGGAGACTGAGAGACTGGAGTCGAGGTCACGATGAATGGCACTTGTTAATTTCCTTGATTTTTCGGCATAATTAAGTTACAGCAACTAAACTCGCAAGGGGAATACAATTTTGGATTCGAATATAAGCCGCACAATGGGTGGAAATAAACAACATTTAATTCATAGATTCATTGGGTTCGGCTTTCGAGGCTGCAGCCCCTGCTGATCATTTTAAGGAGGCATCTTTGAGGCTTTGACAGCAGAATGTTTATTCAATAAAGTCAGTCAATGTTTTCATGTGTGTTTGGGGGATTATTGCAGCAGTCTTTGATTATTCTCTCACAAATTGTGGAAGAATGAAGGGAAAAATGATGAAATACATGCGGAAACTTCCACCAAAGTAGCTTTTGGGGGACGGTTGCTAGATGTCTTGTGGACTTGAGATATTTACATACGAAAAGCTGTTAAAAATCATTGCCGGAACCACTTTCAATCTGTTCATGCAACCAGCCTAAGAGTCTTTCAAAGACAATCAGTTATAGATCCATAGATTCTTTAGTTTCTACAGTTTTTATACATAAATTAAATCCTTAAACCGCTTCATTCCCTTCCAGACACGCATCATTTGGTTGCCCCCATTCGAGCAGAGATCCAGCCCTGGGGCGGCATGCCTCACGAGCCGTCAAGGCGCAACAGCATTGCAATTTTGAAGCCAACTTGGGGGTTGCATTTGAGTGGCGGATGTGCAGGGTAGAGTTACAGCGCCTGCGCGTTTCCTGTCCACCCCCAAGCGAGACACCGCCGCCACGAAGCTTGTAAACAAAAACAAGTTTGCAGAGAGCCAGATAGCCAGAGAGCCAGAGAGAGTGGAAGTCTCTCTCTTGACAGCTGAAATTTCCCCCAAAAGCAGAGCAGAAACGGAGCTCAGTAATACGCGTACGCGTACTCGTGTCTGGACATCTGACAGGGCCAGAGCCTAGAGCCCCAGAGCCACAGAGCCACAGAGTCTCCTTCAAGCAGACCAGCGAGACGTCAAGGAAATTATCGATTTTCGCATGAGGCAGTGAAAAATTCTTGTGTGCTTGAAAAACTTTGCCCAATACCTGGGAGAATTAAATAGAAAGCCGGAGACAGACAGCAACTTGCAACTGCAGAGACTTGCAACACGTTTTGAGTGCTCGTGTGGGTGTGGCAGCTGGCAGCTGGCAGCAGCAGCAGCAGCGGCAGCAGCAGCCATGGCGGACAGCGAATTTGAGGAGTTCCATCGGCCATTTGAGCCACACACAATTGCCACATTTGGTGGGGCAGGTGCAGCAGCCAACAAGAAGAATAATAATTCGCATGCATTTTACTCGTAAGTCAAAGTCTGCCCCTTCCCCCTTCCCCCTCCCCCAAGGGGAAGGTCTTCCCCCCTGCAAAGTGCACCCCAAACTGAATTATCGAATTTTCAAGCTTCAAGGAATTTATGCCTTCATTTTCTTGACTCTCTCCCCCCAGTTTGATTCCCAACGATGACATGGAGGACTCGACATCCTCGAAGAGCGATGGCGACGGTGATGGCTCCGACCAGGAGGATGGCATTGGCATGGGCATGGGCATGGGCATGGCCATGCCGGAACGTGAGCCCAAGCTGCGCCAAGTGGAGGACGACGAGCTGGGTGATGGCCTCAAGGTGACACTCTCCTCCGACGGCTCGCTGGACACGAACGACTCGTTCAACTCGCATCGACACCATCCGTTGAACCATCAGGATGCCATTGGTGGCATCATGGGCATGGCGCCCAATGCACTCTCCTCTGCACCGGTGACCATTGGCGCCAGCACAGATCTGCTGACACCGAATGCGGCAGCCACGCGGCGGCGTCGCAAGTTGCCCGAGATACCAAAAAACCAGAAATGTAAGTAGATCGAATCCCAATCAAGAGTAGTTCATGTCTAAGCCACTCCTGACTGTGTTGCAGCTTCCATTCTGCATCTTTTAGGCGGCACCAACTACGGCTCCCTGGCGGATGAGTTTCGCACTGGCGGCGGCGGCATCATTGGCACTGGGCCCATGACAGGGGCACGCACGGGACAGCAACGCTCATTCCTCTCGCTAAAGTGCGGCTATCTGATGGACGAGGACTCCAGCCCGGATTCGGAGCGGCTGCAGAGCCTGGGGGATGTGGACAGCGGCCACAGCACCGCGCACTCGCCGAACGACTTCAAGAGCATGTCGCCACAGATTACATCGCCCGTCTCCCAGTCCCCGTTTCCCCCACCCTTCGGGGGTGTGCCCTTTGGCCAGCTGGAGATGCTGGAGGCCACACACCGCGGCCTGCACAAGTTTGTGCCGCGACACCACGACGAGATCGAGCTGGAGATCGGCGATGCCGTCTACGTGCAGAAGGAGGCCGAGGACTTGTGGTGCGAGGGCGTGAATCTGCGCACGGGCAGGCAGGGCATCTTCCCCTCGGCCTATGCCGTCGACCTGGACTACAACGAGTTCGATCCGACGGTGCAGCTGGTGAAGAAGGAGCGCTATCTGCTGGGCTACCTCGGCTCCGTGGAGACACTGGCGCACAAGGGCACCGGCGTCGTCTGTCAGGCGGTGCGCAAAATTGTCGGCGAATATGGGGCCTCGCCCACCGGGCAGACGTGCATTCTCGAGGTCTCCGATCAGGGACTACGCATGGTGGATCGATCGGGCCCAAATGTGAGTAGCTTTGCGTGAATCATACAGCCAGAAGCATAAGCTTTTGTTTCCCTTTTAGAACAAGAAGGATAAGAAGCCCTGCATCGACTATTTCTATTCGCTGAAGAACGTCTCGTTCTGTGCATTTCACCCACGCGATCATCGCTTCATTGGCTTCATCACGAAGCATCCCACGGTGCAGCGTTTCGCCTGTCACGTCTTCAAGGGCTCAGAGTCCACCAGGCCAGTGGCCGAGGCAGTTGGGTGAGTTTTCTCCCCCTAAAATTCAAGTTGCAATCTCTAACCTCTTTTGTTTCTCACTCCTCAGACGCGCCTTTCAGCGTTTCTATCAGAAATTCATTGAAACTGCTTATCCCATCGAGGACATCTACATCGAGTAGGATAATTGGTCAAGGATTGTGGATAATGGACAACGGATTATGGATGGATATACGATATATTTTTTGTGCGGTTATTAATTAAAATATAAAAATAAAACTCAGCCACAAATGTTTGCCCCTTTGTCAAAACGAAATGAGAATGTTATAACCAAAATTTGTATAATCTCGCAAGGCTCCATTTGCCAGAACAAAACTTAAAACAAATATGATTTAATTTGTTCCTGCAAACTGTGCAAATTGCAATCCCCCCGATACATGTAAATAGTTAATTTTAGTTTGTAAATCCCAAACTTGGAAACGCTTCAAGGCAATCAATGAATCGGTAATAGCTTCCCCTTTGGAAACCAAAAACAAAAGCAAACACTTAATACAAAGACATGGGATCACAGAAATCCACAAATAATTTCAATTCGAACTCCTGTAAACACTTTGAACAGCCCCGATTGAAGCACAAAACGACATGGAGGCCAAAGTAGAATCCTAAATTTACGAGTAATTACTGCAAGCTCTCTCACACTCTCTCTTTATCTCTCTGTTACGAGGCTCAATAATTCCCACAAGACCCCATGTGCAACTCTTTAAGTATTATACGAGCATCATTCAAAGCCCAGTCAGTCTTAAGATGTGTAAACCCAAGTAGTTGTCGAATATATTATATGTATACAAAGAAATATATAAAGAAAATCTATATTAAAACAAAACAAAACAACGGAAATCAAAGCTGTTTGTGCACAGTGGCGCTCCAGCGATCACCGCCAACTGCTGGAACTAAAACATCGTAGTTCGAGAATTGAACGCTCAGGGCTGAGGCGCCAGTGTGCTAGTTTCGTTTTTGCACAGTGGCGCTCCAGCGATCAACGGCCATTGCCAGAACTAATTTATATTAGCTCAAATTTGTTGTACAACAATAACAGAAACAATTGGACAACAACAACAGGCCAGTGTTGTTTTATTGATTTCTCCTTTATTTGCAGAACAATTGAGACGTGCGACGGCTTCCTGTGTTCGGGGGAGCATCCTTGAGTTGATGGGGTCCTTTTCAAGGATCAAACTCCTTCCCCATACACAAACTTTGTATGTTCTCTTCTATTTCCAGAGCGATCTGCGCTCGCGATCGGAAAAGTATCCTTGTGAAGCAACTAAAAAGGATCAGAAATCTACCAATAAAAAAAAAACTACAAAGTTGTGCTGAAAAAGCAGCTGCTCTATATTCAATATAGAAAGTATTTCACTTGATTAATCCAAAAATACTTAAATAGATGCTTGTGTATGGCTTAGATCTCTCAGGGAATACCCATTTTGTGTCTTTGATTGGGTAATATCAAAATTTGGTTTGCTTAACATCCTAATGGATGGGATGAATGGGATGTGGGGGGAGTGGCTGTTCCAGCTCTGCTCTGCTTTTGCTTATACATAAAATTAAATTGGTTCTGCTTCAGTCTTGGACAACGTAATTAAAAATGCCTTTTCTCAAATAAATGGGGAACTAGACCGAACGAATATTAAAATTAAGACGAGTTAGGTTCCGATTCTTATGTCTGATTCTTCTTGCCATAGATGCTGTAGCTCTTCTCCACGAAGATCTGAATGGATCGCTTCACGTCCTGCTTGTGCGGCTCGGGCAGCTGCTCCAGCTTCGGCAGAATCTTCATGAGGAAACGAAAGTCGGGTGAGAGATTGATGTTGGTTTCGCCCATCATTTTAGTTGGGTCTTCATCCTTGATTGCCTTTTGCTCCTTTTGGTCGTTCTCGGATTTTATGATCTTGGCACATGGAGTAAGTGGCGGCAGTGGAACTGCAACTGGAACTGCCGCTGGAGCCGAATCCGGTGATATTTTGACAAAGTTTGTTGGATTCTTCTTGGGCGGCAAGGTAATGTGAGGCCTGAGCACCAAAGGCTTCTCCTTCACTGCCAGAGGAGGCGGCTTCACCTGCTTCTGCTCCTTGTCCTGTATGCGATTGAGTATCTGGGGCAGCAGCTTCTCCAAGTGCTGGGTGAGATTGTCCTGTGGCTTGTCGCTGACAATCATCAGCTTCTTGCCCACCGACTCCTTCTCCTGCTCTACGACGACAAACATCTTTCGCTTTTTGGGCTGGCCATTGGTCTCTGCACCATGGCCGTTCGTCTCGTTCGACTTCTCCGTGATCAAGTACAGCTTTCGCTTCTTCGGCTGGCCATTCTCCGGGCGAGCAATGCCATTCTTCGGGCTAACATTTCCATTCTCCGGGAAACCGTTTCCATTCTGTGTGGACTCCACAAGGGCGGCCAGTGGCAGAGCCACCTCGTAGTCGGAGCTGATGGACTGCACGTCGCTGGAGGCCGAGGAGCAGATCGAGTGAGAGCGCTGTGGCACGGGTGTAATGGTGACCACCGATTTCTTGGCCTGTTGTGCTTTCTGTGGATCTCGTATGGGGATCTAAAATGGAGAAAACGTCACATCAAATATGTGTAAGGGCAATGCTAGGGCCAACTCACTTTAACCAGTTGTATGGTGGTATTGTTATCCACAATTGGCTTTGCAGCTGCTTCTACTCCACCTCCTCCTGTAGTATTCGTGTCTGCTGCTGTTGTGGTTGGGGGCATGGCCTTGGATTTGCGCAGCGGCGTCATCTTGATGCGCGTCTTGGCCATGTTCTGGAAATGCCTGAAGCAAATGCGAAGCTTCTGCAGGCCGCCAAGCTGCTCCACACGCTGATCGCTCACACCGAAATGTCGCAGCCAATGGTTGCAGCTGCAAGAAATGCCATTAGTATGTGTGCGCGAGAGTATTGTATTGTTTATTGCAAAGCTCAGCTTTTAGTTAGCACATTTCTTTCAACAAATATAAATAACCATTATGGTAATTTCGTAAACACACCAATTATTCAGAGAGAAAGACTGAGAGAGTTTGACTGATGCGAGTGACGCTCAAATAGTGTAATCGCTTTGGCAGTTCTTTGTTTAGTGTAAAAACTGCATTGAAGTTTTGTTCTTTTGGACGCTATGCTTTTACCGCCGAAGCTTTCAAATTAGATCCACTCTCTCTCTCTCCCGCACACACACATGAAGTCGCGTTATTGTCAAAAAAGCTTTTTCTCTGTGAGAGAGAGAGAAGCGGAAGTTTTGCGGACATGCATGTCTGTCTTTGCATTAATACCGGCACATTTCTGTTGTTGCAGCGCAGCTTCTACTCCACCCTCTCGCTCTCATGGACTGTTTATGGATAGGCTAGGCGTCGACAAGTCATGCAAATAGGGTGGACCTTACTAAATTACATAAAACATTACGATGTAACTTTAAAATGTTCCATGTTTATTTTCCTAAGCTATTTTACTTGCAGTTTACCTTACAACACATTAACAATGCAAATGGCACAACACGGTCCACCCTAAGCCCCATGGCCAATGCCAAAGCAAACTGAATTTGTTTTGCAGATCGCAGAATAACAAAACGCAAAGAGAGAGAGAGAGAGAAGTATGTATGTACATAGGTAAAGGAAGAGAAGAAGCCCACACATGCATTTAAGGAGAGCGTGAGAGCTATAAATACACGCAATGACGCGCCCCCCTTCCCTCTTCCAGCTGCTGCTCACCCACATCAGCATAATTGCAACACTCACACAACTGCACTTTGGCTGGCATTGAAAATTTTCTATGATATCCAAGCGATCGCAGAGAGACAGAGACAGTTCAATAACCTGTGACTGGTAATAATCGAAGAGGAACGGAACACGACAAAGCTCTCTCTTGTCTTGTGCAAAAAAAAAGGTAAGCATAACAATAAGCTAAGCTTTGATCGAAAAGCTGGAATGAATTCCTATGCAAACAGGTTTCAAGTGGTTCTGGAATAATGGAAATTCTGGGAGAGGAGAGAGAGAGGAGAGGCGCTTACCGTATTGAGTCGTGGACTGGAAAGCGACGCAGCTCCGATTGTTTCACATCCTGGCAGCCCATCAGACAAATCCTGGAAGGTGCACCCAGCCAGTGCTGTGCACTGGGATGCAGGGACCTCGCCTGGCTTATCTGCAGATCGCCCATTCTGGAAGAGATATTTTTGTGGATAAGACACACACATACAATACATACTTAGTATTGTCGCTCTGTTTGTTCATGTACTTAGCTGAAGCATGCTACGGGGCCACAGCAACAACACAGCAGACAGTGTAAAACCACAAAGAGCGAAAAGCACACACAATAAACTCTCTCTAGTTTGGATGGAGCTTTCAGCTCCCATAGAACTGAAGCTTACATGGTCCGTCCCGCGTGTTGCTGTCGCGCTTGCTGTCTGGCCATTTTATATTTACGAAAAAATAAACGATGGAAATGCCACACAAATGGTTGACTCAGCTACTTTTGACTCACATCAACCCTTTTTATCTAGTATACATAATTCTTACCTGTTGCACTGCTCCTCCTATTTTTCTCTCTCCCTCAGTATGCTGCACCGAAGCTGCACTCTTAAGTTGAATAACCTTGCCGGTGCACCACTGTGCTGTTGTTATCAGCAGTTCAATTCTATCCTCTACACGATTTTTCTAGAAGGGGTTTTTTACACTTTCCAATTCAAATTGCGCCGATGAATTCCTTTGATTTCTTTGCATGGCTTATCTTGATTAACGTGCCTCAGAATCGCGCTCTGTTCTTTGATTACGTTCTGCATTCTCCTCTACGTCACACAGACTGACAAAGTTTCGTTCTATCGCCAAGCTTAAAGCTGCCCAAAGCTGCAATTAATTGGGAAGGGAGCTTTTACAACTTAACATAAACATCCATTTAGTGGCGAAAAAGATGCTCAAGTCGGAGTTTGATGGGTTCACTCAAAATAAAGCTTGGGTTTTGAGAGCGAGAGAATTTATAGACCAGAAAGCTTTGTTTTGAGTTTTTCTTTGCAGAGATTCTACAACCAAAGAAATAAATACCGCCCGTCCGGCAAAGATCGGATCAACCACCAGTTCATTTTAAACTCAAGATATGATGAGAATCTAATCATTCATCTGTTCTTATGAATAGGAACCCTAGTTCGTTTCTTTCAGCCAACTTAGCAACTTTTTCTGGTCTGCGATCTATTTTTGATGTAATAAATTATTTAAATTAGAAAAACTGTCGTAGTTCTAAATGTTCTTTCATATAAATAAACCTGCTCGGTAAGAAAACTACGCTCTAGCACAATGGTTTGCAAGAGTCAGGATGGCCGAGTGGTCTAAGGCGCTGCGTTCAGGTCGCAGTCTACTTCTGTAGGCGTGGGTTCGAATCCCACTTCTGACAAGACTTTTTTGTACATATTTTGCATGATTTCTAAGAATATATTTAGAGGATAATGTCAAAGTTAGTCTACTCACACTTTTTCTAATATATTTTATTTACAGGGTATTGTTTTGGGCTATCCTCTATAAATACTCTTTAATTGGATTGGGCGAGTGAGGTCCTGACACTCGCTGATTATCCAGTCAGGATGGCCGAGTGGTCTAAGGCGCTGCGTTCAGGTCGCAGTCTACTTCTGTAGGCGTGGGTTCGAATCCCACTTCTGACAATAACCTTTTTGTATCACGTTTTATGCCCTTCCTTATGGTTTTGAACACAAACTTTGACACCAGCGAGCATGGGATCTCCCTTGGGTATAAGCTTTCAATGTTTTTTGTTCTCCTGTGTATTATATTCTCGCTGTAAGAGCCTTGGCTTTTCATTTAACATTTACATTTAGATAGCAATTGCGCTTATCAATTATGAGGAGTCGTAAATTGAGCAGCAACGTTCAATCGACTAGCTTAACCAATTCATAATATAATTAATGAAATGTTAAAAGCTTCTCCATAAATAAACATTCTGAGAGACGCAGGTGTTAGCTGCGTTCAGACTATGGCTATTTCTGTGCATTAATAGCATACACTTTTACAGACAATTTGTGGCTGGCAAATATTCATTTGACTATTATTTAAAAGCCAATCATGGGCGGTTCGACGATGCCATAAATTTCAATGGTTGCTCATTAGGTGATGGAGGAAAGCCACGCTGAAAAAGAAGTGGCTGCAAGCTAAAGATAAGCATCCACTTGTCACATCACTCATATTTCATATTCCTTTCTATCTAGAGCCCAGTCTCAGACCCACTCCGACCCCAACCCACTGGAACTGTCCATGGAAATCGGCTGTCACTTGTCAATTGTTCCATCAGACTTATAGCCAGAGGCAGCCTCAATTTTCCAGGCCTTGCAGGCGCTAAAATGCACATCATAAAAGTTGAATAGCTAACTACATTTTTGATGGGGGTTTGGGGGTTCATTTTCATTGTTTTTGCCACCAATTACATATTCCGGCCAAATTCTCAATTGCATTGTCTGTGTACTCTGCTCAAGTTGATTGCATTTTATGACCAGCTACGGACACAGAGCACAGAACACAGAAAACAGAAGCATAATTATAGATAGGCCCGATCTGTTTTTCCCAAGAACAGATGTGAGTGGGCCAGAGTGGAGCGGTGCGGTGCGGTGCGGAGCGGAGAGTGCTCACTGCATTTGAAATCGCGCTCAGTCAGCATTTTAATTTCTGTCTGATTGAAGTGAACGAGCGAATAGACTTCTCCAAGTGGAAGTGTGATGCCAGACGGCGATAATTCCCATCGTCATCGACATCGACATCGCCATCACCGCTGTGTGGTCTGTGTCTGAGCGACAGCCGGAGGGCAGTGCAATGCAATGCAAAGCAATCGTCGTTAACTGCCAGCAGATTATGTGATTGGAATATTGACAATTAGGCGGTCACAAATTGATTTACTTGTAATTTTTAATGGCGCCCCTCCTCATCAATGAATTTCCTGCGTTAATTGTTGATGATCAGGAGACGCAAACAACCAAAGTTCTTTGTATGGTGAAGCAAAAAGATTCTTGTCAGAAGTGGGATTCGAACCCACGCCTACAGAAGTAGACTGCGACCTGAACGCAGCGCCTTAGACCACTCGGCCATCCTGACTCTTGTGCCTGCCAAAGGCGTCGGGGCGTACAAATCGGTTCCACAGAATGGAACCTCTCGATGGACATCACACTCGTACGCCTTGTATTACACATGTTGGGGCCCAATAACACTTAACACTTTGAACCTGCTGCCCGCCGCCCACACACCACCCCAGGCCAAAGAACAATTCCAGATGAAATATTATAAATGGCGCCCCAGAGGCAAAGACAAATTGCCGTTCTGCGGCGCGTCACGGAAAGGTGTGTACTGACAGGGGGCAGACAGATCGACAAGACACGGATTGTGTTTTGTACCTGAGAAATCAACATGCAGTCGATGGAAATGATAATAAAAAGCAGGCACAAATCAGGTAAACGTCATACATCACACGGTGCAGATTGGCAAGTGTCACTTTTCTTATACATTTCCATTTATTATGCAAGCAAAAACACTGACAGTTGCCTAAATTGTAATATTCAACGGTTCACAGGATGGATGGGAAGGGTAGGGTAGGGCAGGGAGAGAGAGATCGCCACGAATAAAGACGTTTTGCCATGCCAGCAGAGTAATTAAATTATGCGAGAGTACATGAGAGGCTTTGAATTTTGGGCCTACCAGCTGCTATCGCAGGTCTGGTAAATGTCAACAGACAGCCGGAGCTTGCCACAGCCTGACATTTCACACGCAGCTGCAGTAGCAAGTAGCAGTCAGTGCGTTTGGGCATACCCCGCCACTGGGGGAAGGTCTAGGGTATATGGAATTCTAGGCAAAAGGATCGTAGCACAAGAGGGAGTAAAGCTTATAGCTTCGGATGAAAGGAGGATTTCCTAGGTTCAAAAGAAACTCTTTGCATGTTTCGCAACGATACTCCAACATATTGCTACCCGGTATCCCATAGTCTGTATCCCCCACTAATATCTCTCCGACTTGTTACTGCTGTTCGCTGTTATTGGTCTCACGCACTTTCAATGCATTTCAATTAGCCCGGGCCGCTCCACTTTGACTTTGAGCCTGTGACTGTGACTGTGACTGTGTGGCTGTGCGATTCGATATATTTTCCATTTTTATAGACCGTTCGCGATGGCAGACACTTGATAGGCATTTGTATATGTTAATCGGGTGTCCGTCCGTCCTGCTGTGTGTACGGCGTGCTATTGCGGACCGACCTGACAGCCAAAGTTAATTAAAGTTTACGCTTTTAACCAGCCCAGCACTGAGGCAGCAGCAAAGCAGCCAAGCAGCATGCATAATTCCCATTAATTTGCTCGTTAAACTCTCGAGTGTGTGGAGACGGGGATGGAGATGGAGACCCCTTCAATGGCTACCTCAATCTGACAGCAATTGCCGCGAAGTAGGGACAATCGCAATCGCCACAGCATTCATTATGATTAATGATCTCTGAGTGAGCATAACCACAGCCACAACCCACAACCACAGCCACAACCAGAGTGACCCACAAAATGCGACATATTTTCCAATGTTCCAAGAGTTTTCCACTCGAAAATAGAATTAGCAAATTGCCCGAATGTCAATCAGGAGTGATCAATCAAAATTTGTGCTACTGTCAACTCTATCACCATGCATACAAATGGTATAAATAACCCCCAGAGGCGGAGGCAGTGCAGTGGGGCAGCAGCGGAGGAACGCTTGCAACTGCCACAAACGACGGCTGGGTGCAGCTCCAAACATTTAACTGGAGGTTGTAAATTACCATAACAATTCTTGGGGGGGAAATATGTGGGTCAACAATGGAACACAGAGCTATGGAACCATAGAGAACACCCCAACAATGCAGCGTAGAACCCCCCCGATGATATGTCAGTGGAGTTCCAAACATATTCCACAAAAGGTTATGTTATGCATGGAGTGTGTTCGGATGGGTCAATCGTGGGGTCAATGCAAATGGAGTTAGGATTACCCACATCACAGCCCGCATGAATGGCTTAAGAGAATCCACCTTGAGTCCAACGCCTTAGTGGCAGCAAGCGACTAATGAAGTGATTGTCTAATTGTCAAAGATTAAGTCAATGTTGATTCTAAATATAAAATGCAATGGAGCAACGACTCAAAGAGGTTTAAATCTGTTGACTTAGATTATCATAAATGATATATTGATATCCCATAACAATTAACAGCTAAAATAACATAATTTATGCACGAAAATTATTCCACAACAGCGTTAAGATATTTTCACAATATGCTGCCATAATTAATCACTCGAATAATTTCTATGATAAATTACACAATACTTTTCTTAGTTTATTTTTCTTACACAAATCCATAGCTAACCTCACTGTATTGAGCTATAAAACTTCCAATCCTTTTTCCACCCAAATAACAATTAAAACCGCCACTAAAAACTCCCCCTAAAATCGAGTTCAATTAATTTCCGATTTATCAATGCTTCCCCCATACCCAAAGTCAATGCTCCTTTTCAAGTTCAAAGTCAGATCGGACAATACTTTCAAGTATTACCCCCCCCATAAAATAGCCGAATCCAAAATGAGAGAAACTTGGTCCAAAACAAACTGCAGACAGACTCTTCGACTGGCGGCCGACCGAGCATTAATCAATTTTTATTCTCTCCATCCGATATTTTTTGGGATCTTTTCACATATTTTTGTTGTATATTCTGTCGCGACATTTATGCCAAATTTGTACAAAAGTTAATTAACTGGTTTCATTGTTATTTGAGTGTTTTTGCGGCTTTTTTTGTGTGTTTCCTTTTCGTA